ACTCAGAGTGGTGACAATTGTGTAGCCAAATTCATACTAAGATAGGACAGTAAGTACTGTGTCCTCAAGGCTTTCCTAGAACACTCTACTTACTAGCTTGAATTGTCAAACTCTCACACCAAATTTTCTACCTTCCATACATCTCAGCTCAAACAATACTATACAAATGATCCTACATTATACTCTACACATAAACTTGCACAACCTCCTCCTGTCCTTACAGAGGAAGGACTTGAAGAGTAGGAAGTAGAAGCTATAATTGATTAATGAAGATGAGGACACAGTCTCTAATACCTTGTTTGCTAGAAAGGGTATGGTCCAGAAGACAATCTTTAGTTGCCTAAGTAGGAACTAGACAACTGTGTAGCATTAAACTAATAGGAACAACAGTTACACACTGACTCTCATACATAGCCCTCCTCAATCCTCAATTTCCATTCTACAAAACACTTGTAGAGTGTGTTCAACTAATGCCTTCTCCTCTCTTATCTTCATCTTTGTATTCAACACATCTTTTCTCTTACAGACATTCTCAATTTCCATTCTAATATATCCCTCCTTCTTCAATCCCTTCCCTGCCTTACTTACTCCTTGCCCCCTATATTTATTCACACACTCTTACACCACTCTTCCCTTTCCCCTCTTTCTCTCTTCTTCCTAGTAGGGAAGAGTGTAACCTTGTAGAGGTTACATACAATCTGTTAGCCTTATCACATGACTTATCTTATAAATAGCTCTAAGACATTCCTAAGACTGTATCTCTTCTTGTACCTTCTTTAATACTAGTCAATTGTCTGTTCCACAACCTGAGTGAGACATTGTCTCTACACAAAGGCCTTATTAATGTACAAACTAGTACATCTACTGTCTACTAGAGCTATTGTTTGGATCCTAAGAAGGGAGCTAAGAGAACAGGAACCTGGAGCTAGTGTTTAGAGTATTCTCTAATAAATTACTACTTGTTCTAAAGGGAACATACAGTTTGTACAGTCTTGTTGTCTGAGAGGGTAAGTATATACACTAACATTTCCTTATTAACCTCTCTCTTTCAACAAGGACAGACCTATGTTCTTAACTGTAAACTCAGTTAAGACTATCTCTACTTAATACTACAGACAAACTACTGAGTAGTAAATAGGGCTAGGTAGTGTTTTAAACATTCTAAGTTTTTAGAATGTAAAAGTAGCAGGTTGGATTGTACAGATTTAGACTCAGATAAAGTGTGAAGAGAAGAATTAAAAGAATCAGAAGAAATAAGAGAACTATCTACTTTTGTTTTTGACTTTTTTCTTTTTAATAAATAATTTTATTAATTTACTTTTTCTACTTTTTCTACTTTTCTTACTTTATTTACTTCTAATCCTATAGTGTCCATTGAATCAAAAGTAGCTGTTAAAAAATCTGAGTCATAACCCTTTAGTACTACATTTACTGTTAAGCCTTTACAAAATCCTAGAGTATATAGTCAGAGTCTAAGAGTTCTAAAGTAACTTCTGAATTTGTAGAAAAGGCTTCTTACTACAAATCCTACTTGTTACTCATTATTACTCTAATAACTTAACAGATATACTGTTACTTCTGTAAACAGTCCTTAATTTAGTGTCCTGACTTTCTGTAAACAAAGTATACTTCTTACTTTTAGGCTTCTCTAATGTTTATTAGAACAGATAAATTATAGATTATAGGTGGATCAATCTGAGGGCTCAGAACTGTTAGGGTTGAATGTATGTATAAACATTCTGTACAGACTTGATACATTCAAACTGTAGCTTGGTTGAAGGAAATAGTGTGTGTCTTCTAATTAGTGTAAATAATTAGTTCTAGTATTATTCTAAGAATCTTATTAACCAGTTCTGAGTAAAGAGCTTTCTTAAGTATTCTAATAAGAACATTATTAAACCTGAGTGTGAATCCTACCTTCTAGGCTAGGATATTAAACTCCTGAAAGAAGGTATTAGTAGAATGTTTACCCTGTCACAGAGACACAAGCTTGTTCTGTACATTATACTTCTTATTCAGATTAATAAAGGAAGTACAGAGCTGTCTCATAAATTCCAAATATGACTCATTGTTCTAAAGTTGGATCAGGCTTCCAATCTAATAATCTTTGATTCAGTTCTAGGCCCAGGTGGTCACATTACCTTCCTTTATAAAGGAGAGGACAAATAGGACATGATTAAGATCTGAGAATAGATTGGTTAAAGTAGTAGCTATGTATAGTTTAACTTAGTACTAGAAGTCCTTAAAGTACTACTCATTAAAGTCTAAAGGGTAGGCTACATACACTTTCTTTCTAGAACAGGTTTTAAGAGGGCTAAGAGCACATAGTTAGTAAAGGCCTCTTAGATAAAAGTCTATATGTATTAAGCTAGGTCTACTTATAACTACTAATCTAGTAGGACAGTAGGGGTGACAGTCAGTGTAGAAGGGTCTATGTTTACACTACAAAGGAATCAACACTAAACTAAAAGAGGTAATGAATAAAAGAAGAGTAGTAAAAGTTTAAAATTAAAAAATGTAAAAGGGTTAGGATAAAGAAAAGAGATTGACACAACAGTAAGTACTAATACCTGAAATGTAGGAGAGTTGTAGGGTAGTAATAAGTAGTTTTGATCTAATGTTAGCAACAGTATAGAGGGGACTCAAAGGCTTAGTAAGGGGACCCAGGCTACAACTATTCTACACAACAGAAATACAGAATGTAAGTACTAAAACATAGTCAGAACTTATAGAACAGACATAGAGAGACAGAGTGAGACAAGAGTAGAGTATATAGAGTGAGTCTAAGAGTACAGAACTACCTAGAGTAGACAAGATTAAGACTATAGGACCAGTCTGATCTTGTATACTTATATATACTAAACTATACAAGAGTACTCAGGAAATAGTAAGCTACTAAGAATGATGAGCTACAAAGAAATGAAAGGAAGGAAGATTAAAGATAAAGGTACAAAGAATGAAGGGATGGACAAAGGGTAAGAGACTATAGAATGAACAAAGAATGAAGGGGTGGTCAAAGGAACAGAATAATAAAGTAAGGAGGGGTAGTAGTAAGAGTCAGTCTGTATATAGTTTATAGACAGTACTTTCAAGAGACAGAAGTCCTGAGTTCTAGTACAGAAAGGTACAGAACCTTCAGAACTAAGAGTATAAGAGTAGAGAACCATAACACATTAGACAAATATAACACTTATAGTAGACTTAATACACAAAGTAAATGAAACATTTATATTACAAATGTAAATAATATTATTTGAAATAACAGACAAACACATATTAAACATTGTATTAGTCTGATCAACTAATATAAAGTTTGAAAGGGGAGTGTTAGTATTTATCTTATAATAAATGTATTATATGTCTCAAATCATACAAATGTATTATATGTCTCAGGTTATACAAACATCTTACATAATATACACTATTATAGAGACATATTATTCAAGACATGTTATCTAAGACACACATTCAAGACATTTAATAGTATAGAGTATATAGTACTTTAATTTACAGATAAGGAAGCTCAGTTACTTATTGTAGAGTCACTAAGACATTGTTGTCAGTTGTACTCAACTTAACACTTATACACAATAAGTAGAGTCTACTAAACCCCTACTTGTGTGATCTCCTTGTAAGACCCTGTTGAGTACAATACTTATAAAGTAGTATTCTCTATTATTGAGGGAAATTTGTAACCTAACTGTATACTAACAGTTCTAAACTTAATTTTGAACATATTTACATGAAACTTGTTATAAACTACTCTAGTACATTTATATTTAATTTAGGAATATAGTTTGAGACTAATTTTTTTATTAACTATAAAGAGAACTAGAGTAAAATAGTTAGTTTTATACATTTTAACTCTTTCTTAAAAAAGCAGAATAAGTAATCTACTCATAACAGTTTAAGTGTGTAAATTAATTATTAATATATCTGACTAGAATAAACAGTTTTTTAAGCTTATATTCTTAAATTTGAGACTAGGAAAAATTATACAAGGAAAAATAACTAAAATCTATGTATTTCAGTTTTTACAAGACTAGAAAAAGAAATAATTGAAAAATAATTTAACAAATATTTTCTACTATTAAAAAATAATTTTAGCAACTTATTTGAATTAATTTTATTAAGATTTAAGTAAGTTATAGTACTTTTTCTGTATTTTACAATTCTATAACAAAAAATCACACAAGTTACAAACAGTTTGTAACCAAAAATAGTAAACTAATTACAAATAATGTTTATCATTATATAAGTTATTTCTTAAAGCAAGAAATTGTGAAATGCTGTGTGTGTAGGTTTAAGGACTATGTGTGCACGTGATTTTGTCACCAGAGTCACAGGCCCCAATGATGTGTTGAGTGCCAGCACATTAGCCCCTCTCAATTCTGTTGAAATGGCCGATTTATTTTCAGCATGGCAAGTTTTAGTAAGGGTAGAGTAAGGGTCGATGTAAGAGACCCTAGTCAGGCACATGTAATTTATCCTTTTTAAGACGCATTTTTTTCAAGCGAATTCAAGAGCTCGAGAGCTCTTGAATCTCGTCGGACTTTCAATATGAAGATTACATATACAACTCAAGTAGCCTGAGCTAAGTAAAACTGCTCTCATAATTAAGCAACAAGAGTAGTGAGTGCATATATTCAGTATACCAAGTCTCTTTACTGTAATCTAACAAAATTATAAGTAAAATAAATTTCTTTTACTTAGAAAATATTTATAACTTGTATTTAACTATTATTTACACAAGCCACAGAAGGAAAAAATCAACTGATAATCTCAATTCATCAGTTGATTTACATTTCTCGGCACAGGGTCACGAGATCCTATCCCTGTGCCGCAGCAAACTTTCAATCGAAAAAAAAATAGAATTGAGAGGGGCTATTGTTTCTCATCCACCATCATCCGCCATGTCCTCCCCAAGTCTAATCAAGCACCGTTACGTGATCTGCCTGCTAAACAAAAACAATAAAAATGCCGAAACCTGTCCTTTTGTCATGCCGTGTGATGCGGATGTTGATGCTTTGCGGCGAGAAATTTATGGCCATTCGAGCTACAAAGGTGCCCTGGAGCACTCGACGCTAACGCTATACAAGGTCTTTCTCCAACATATCGTATTTTTTGTCATACTGATTATCTACGTGCAGGTCGGCGTGCAGCCTGACAATCTAGATATTGAGCCAACAGAGAATCTTCGTGAACGTGCCTTGGATTGGCTTCGCGAAGATACACCGCGTAATCCAATGCAGCCTGCACGTCGTCTGAGCAAGTATTTCCCTGAGGGACCCACGCCAGAGGATAAGGACATGATAGATATCATTGCTCTGGCTGAATCAAGTACGTATTCTTTTCTCTGCCCGTCCACAATGTTTTGCCGGTTCCTCACAAGTTTGACTAATCTATATATGCAGCGGTCGTTCCGGCCAAACGCTCGCATCCTACTGAAGAACCCTCTGAGGCAGGCAGTACGTTAGGACAAATTTGTTGTTGGCAAGTACGTGATCCTTACATACACTTGAAGGTAGGCGTATTAGAAAGCTTGGGGAAAACGAAGCTATTCTCGGGGAACGTTCGCGTGCCAGTTACAAGGAAGCCCCCGAAGCAGACGGTATGTCAGGACAAATTTGCTGCTGATCCACACATGGTCCTCACACATACCTCAAATTGATTGACTTTTAGACGAGAGAAAACGGCTCGGACAACGAGAACTCGAGCTGAGGCCAGTATGTTTTCCCACAGAAGCAGGGAAAGTCTTTCATAAAGACCCTGGTGCCTTCGGTTGGCAGTTTGAGCCTGTGGATGAGTGGTGGAATTTCTATTTTTTCTGGACCAATCAATCATTCGACACCGAGTTCCGGAAGTCTGTCATCCCTCTTGCCACAAACAAGCAGGATCTTGATGACCCCAACCACAGATTGTCCAATCTCCCAGAAACTTGTGGCTGCCTATACGTTTTACCTTTCTATCAAAGTCTAACAGAGAGAATGTTTAGATTCAGGCGGGAGGATCGAGAGAAAGGCATTGTTCTCTCTGGCCAGCCAGGAACAGGTGTGTACCATTGCCTCCTTTATGAATTGGTACTCATAAGGACTAGGGAAGACAACCTGGCTGTGGTACATGCTCATATGTTGCCTCATGAAGTATGAAAATGTAGTTTTCCATTATCAGGCAGATACACGTTTCTTTTTCGAGGGTCGAGTTTATCGGGCAATGAGGTCGAATGCAAGTTTGATCGAGAAGGGGGTATTTAGTTGGAGCCTGATAGATCTTGATCGACGGGAAGAAGGGCCACCAGAATTTCTCACAGGGAAAGGAGTCCACATCCTTCCCATTCAGGCTGCGTCGCCCAACCCAAAGCGATATTTTCATTGGCTGAAGCAGCGCAACGGGTATGTTTGGGGTATGCCACTGTGGACACTCGATGAAATGATGCAAGGGTGTGTGTCTGTACTTTGACAGTTCAACTAATACAATACTAATTTTACTACAGTTTTAAGGTGCATGAAAAATTCACTCCGTTTATGAGCACACTATATGAGGCACTCAAGTCCGTCAAGGGGGAGGCTGGCAGGCAAGCTTGCACTGTGCTCAGTACTGTCACGCAAGAGGAAAGCAAACCCGCCCGCACCGAATCTGACGATTCTGACGAGAATAAGGCGATGCTTGTTGACAGCTACGCTACTAAAGGAATGAATGTCTTTGTGAAGGAGGACGCTATTAGGAACGCTATGAGGTTTGCGAAGGACGACAAAGGTAATTGGAACAATGCGGAGACGGTGTTCGAATTGCTGGTAAAGGATGCAGTCCATCAATATGGTGAAGCTGTTCGTGATATTACGAGTGCCGTCTTTGACGGGTTCGCACAAGCCGAAGAAAAGTATCAAGCAGCACTCAATTTGGATAAAGCGACTATTGACGCGCTCACAGATGCACTAGCATGTATAGGAACAGAGCGGGCGTCGAATCTAGAGTCTATTTCCCATCGGCTCTTCTCAGTCGAACCAGTCAAAGAAGCTCGCTTATCCAACAAAAATGATACCTTTATCCCAAAGTTCAAGTCCGACCGAATAGGCGAAATATTCATGGAGAAAGTTGGACACTTGCATATTGGTCAAGCCAGGAAGTTTTCCCACCTGTTTGGGATGTTTCCCGAGTCCTCTACACTAGGAGGTTGGATCTTTGAAGCTTACACCCGCCATCTACTAGAATCTGGCAATATTCAACAACGCTTGATCCCTATGCCTTTAGAATATTGTACAGATACACATTGTGTGTATAAAACCCAATTGGATGGAAGCCCAAGAACACTGTTCCCGAATCGCAGGAGAAAGCAGGCCTCTGTCACCTTCCCAAACGGAAAACTAGTGTCAGACGAGGCAGACAACATTGAAGATTGTCTCTGTGTTCCGGCGCCTCGGAACAATCCACTCTTTGATGCATTTTTTGTGGACTTGGACATGACAGACTCTGCTGTTACTAGCACCATATGGATTGTTCAGATGTCTTTATTGGCAACACACGGTGGCTCGTCAGCAGGATATACACATGTTGAATCTATTGTACAGAGTGTCCAAACATGGGCAGAAGTGCTTCTCAAACAGTCTAGGGTACAGCAGCATACAGGCACTGTATCTCAGCCGAAGATTTCCTGCATAGTTAAGTACCTCTATATATGCCCTATGCCTGAACGACGGCATACCTGGCAATTGCCTTGTAAAGGCTGGATAAAGGTAAAAGGGGATGTGTTCTGCTTGCACCTTGAATACTGTGATTATTTACCTTCCTAATATAAAGTATTTTGGAGAATGTAGTAGGAATACCTTTTGTTAATTGATGTTAATGCTTTATGGTAAGAAATTCATGGCCATCCATACTACAGAGATGCCTTAGAACACAAAACTCTGACACTGTACAATGTCTTTCTTCTATGTCTCCTATTCTGTCATTATACTAATGATTAATGTGCAGCCTGACAATCTGAACAGGAAGTCACTCAAAGTGATGCAAAGGATTATGAATCCTTACATGACTTGGAATCAAGGTTCCAGAATTTCACAGACTGTTCTGAACTGTATAAAGTATCTGTAGACATTGTCTTTAAGACTACAGGCTATAAGTATATTATAGCTAATACAGAGACACTACTCAATTTTTGTTCTCTCAGCAATTAGTGTATTACTAAGCAGTTGCATTTGTCTCATATAACATATCTTTACCTGTTCTCCTTACACAATCACTAAGCTAGTTTACAGCAGAGTAATCAATACTATAAACTACTTACTAAAGACTTTCCTGGAATTGATACATACACTTTTGAAATAGACAGTAGCACCATTTGTAGGATTGCCTTTTTCCAATTCACAATAACAACCTATCATTAAAGAAATCAGAAGTTCCTAGACAATCTCTGGATCTCATAGTTAGGTTATTGTTAGTGTTAGGAATGGAAGTTGATTTTCATTGTTCCTAAGGGAATTACACCTAGTGCTAGCTCTAAATACACTCAATTTATTAAAGAACTTGAAATTCCTTAAGTAGAAGGGTTTCCTGTATTGCTTCTGTACAATCTAGAGGATAGTGTTATTAATACAAGAATCATCTCACAATTAGGAGATGGGTTATCAAAGTACATCTCTTCTACTTGATCCTATTGTTTATGTTTGTCACATTCTATCCAGAATAATAATTAACACATCTGGAAGTAGAAAGACTTGACTGTTACTTAAACTCCTAGCTACAAAATAGGGCTTTTATTTCACAACTGTTATTAATCCTGTAAACCTTCAGCTCAGATCTGCCAACATTCACAATACAATATCTGAGTAGATTCCCTAAAGTAAAGGCTTCTGTAAGCATTCTAAGGGTAAATCTAATAACAATCCTACACAGTTAGAACCTATATATTGTTAAAACTGTTAATGTGTTACATGTGTCTTACACTAGATTCTTATAGTGTGTGTTATTATTTTTGAATGGTTCTTGACAACATTATATACTATTTGGAAAGGTAAAGATAACTGTCTTAACAATACTAAGCTATACTAATTGTTATTACAATTGAATCCTTATAGAATTCTAGAATGTAATGTATTTAGGAATCTAGTACAGATCCTTAATAATACTAGTAACAGCTTTGTTATGACTTAGGGATATAACTATGTAAGGTATAGTACAGGTTATAATAATATAAAGAGAGAATGATTATATAAGAGTAAGATGTATTTAGAGTGTGTGAGAAATTACTAAAAATAAATACATAGTTACATATACTCCTTTAATAAGACTAGACAGTCAATTTACAATCAAACTGACTAAGCAGTTTTGTATTAGTAACATTAGCAAATAACAGAAAATAAATTCATTAGACAGATTTAATATAACAAAAAGTTTTAAAGATTATAAGGAAAGAAAATGTTAGACTTTGTTTTTAGAGTATTTATAAAGAAACAAGAAAAATAAATTAAGATACACAAATGAAGTTTGTAACATAGTGTTACAGTTCTCTACTCTTACACCTTCAGTTCTACAGGTTCTACACCCTTCTATACTAGAACTCAGGACTTCTGTCTCTTAAGAGTACTGTCTAAGAACTATATACAGACTGACTCTCTCTATAACTCTTACTACTACCCCTCCTTACTTTATTATTCTATTCCTTTGTCTACCCCTTCATTCTTTGTTTATTCTATAGTCTTTTACCCTTTGTTTATCCCTTCATTCTTTATACCTTTATCTTTAACCTTCCTTTCTTTTATTCTTTATAGCTTATCATTCTTAGTAACTTACTATTCTCTAAGTACTCTTGTATAGTTTAGTATATATAAGTGTACAAGATCAGACTAGTTCTATAGTCTTAATCTTGTCTACTCTAGGTAGTCCTGTACTCTTAGACTTACTCTATATACTCTACTCTTATCTTACTCTCTCTTTCTGTCTGTTCTGTAAGTTCTAACTATGTTCTAGTACTTGTGTTCTGTATTTCTATTGTGTAGAATAGTTGTAGCCTAGGTCCTCTTACTGTTACAGTTCTCTACTCTTGTACCTTCAGTTCTGAGGGTTCTGTACCCTTCTGTACCAGAACTCAGGACTTCTGTCCCTTAGGAGTACTGTCTATAAACTATATGTGTACTAACTCTTACTACTACCCTTCCTTACTTTATCATTCTATTCCTTTAACCACTCCTTCATTCTTTGTTCATTCTATAGTCTCTTACCCTTTGTCCATCCCTTTATTCTTTGTACCTTTATCTTTGACCTTCCTTTCTTTCATTCTTCATAGTTTATTATTCTTAGTAGTTCATACTCCCTAAGTACTCTTGTATAGTTTAGTATATATAGGTATACAAGATCAGACTAGTTCTGTAGTCTTGATCTTGTTTACTCTAGGTAGTTCTGTACTCTTAGGCTTACTCTATATACTCTACTCTTGTCTCACTCTCTCTCTCTGTCTGTTCTGCAAGTTCTGACTATGTTCTAGTACTCACATTCTGTATTTCTGTTGTATAGGATAGTTGTAGTCTGGGTCCTCTTACTAAGCCTTCAGGTCCCCTCTACACTGTTACTAACATTAGATTAAGACTACTCATTACTACCTTACAACTCTCCTACATTTTGAGCATTAGT